TTTTTGTCATGTCACTTTATTCAATTATTTGTGATGATCTGCAGGTGTCCCTATACTTTTGTCCAGTGAGTGTATATTTATCTATATATCTGTTTTTTATTATTAGATAAATAAATGAATGTGGATAATAGAGACAAGGTAAGCTGTTCTATATATAATTATGAATAAATAGGACACACAAAAGAAACAAGGTTGTTCTATAATTATTGCTAAATTAATAGTTTTGTATGATATCTTTATTTACATGTTTATTTATTTATTTATTATTAGATAAATAGGAAAGAAACAAACAATATTGTTAAATTAATAATTTGTATATGTCTATTTCGTGGATAATAATAATTTTGTATAATATGTATATACAGCACCTAGACAAAAGTTTCGGAACACTTGCTTTTTTCAATAATCATATATGAAATTTATATCATTTGTGATTTAAGTTCTTGTAAATATCTATGCAAAATCTCATGTATCTAGGTTCCGTAGAACTCGAATAAATATATAAAAATGAAATTCGATTAAAAATTTTTCTAAATTTCTGATGTGAAATTTTTTATTTTATTACTCAAATTCTATGTAATAATTTTAATTTAAAATTCTAACTATTTTTAATATTTAGTTGGGTATCCTTTGCTCTTTATACAAGCCTGAATTCTTCTAGGAATGCTTTCAATCAAATTCATTAAAACATTTTGAGGAATTTTATTCTATTACTTTTTTAAAGCAGCCTCAAGTTCAAGTTCTTTAAGATTTCTTAGATTGTTAGGACTACTTCTAATACGACATACTATAATGTGGTGAAAAAACTAAGTATTTTAGAAATACTTCTATATGAGGCTCCACTTTTATAAAGGCCAACTATTTGTCCGCGTTGAGCTTCAGTTAAATTAAAACTTTTTTTTTTTGAAATTTAAAATTTTGAAAACTTTTTAAAAAAAAAGATCTTAAAAAATATGTAATGAAAAATATTTTTCAGATTACCAAAATTTCCAAAACATATTACCATGTAGGTTCTTGGACAATTTCTAAAAACATCATATCAAAAATTTTTGATTGCCAAAATTTAATCGAATTTCATTTTTATATATTTATTCGAGTTCTGCGGAACCTAGATGCATGGTATTAGTCATAGATATTCACAATAACTTAAACCGCAAATGATATAAATTTCATATATGTTTAATATGTATACTTTTGCGCAATTAACAAAAGCAAGTACTGTATCTATCTATTTATCTATTTCGTGGATAATGGCTATTCTATAATTATTGTTAAATTAATGGTTATTAGATAACATGAATAAAAATTTGCTTCCAATATCTATTTGATAAAAAATTGTATATTTTTATAATTGGTTAAATACTGGGCTAGCAAAAATACATGTAACGATTTTCCTTTTCTCAAAAATAAAAATTTTCTGTAATTTATTCGGGCCAATTAAATTTCGTGATAAAATCAAAATATGATCAACGAAAATCATTACCAATTTGCGAATGTCCGCCACGTCAAATATCCAATTTACATATTAGATGAATTATAATATGGAAATTAATGAGTTGTACCCATTTCTCTGACAATGTGCTTTCTAATACATTATATCAGTTTATTATGGAGATATCAGGGAAACATCTTTTGGAGGTCATCTTGTCGGGAAAGTGGTTGTTTGGGAATTGTAATGCTTGAAAATAAAAACAAAATTTTTTATAAAAATTGCTATAAAATACTAATCACGCCCTCAATTAAAAATGAATTTCAAACAAGCAACTACTAACTTGGCTGGAGTTATAATCTTTAGAACCTTCTTTCACTATATTGACATTAACTGTAATAATTATGCGAATGATTATTCTTATAAAATGTTGATTATATAGTACAAATTAAAATTTCTGGTAACTTCCGTCCTGAATTCTCAACTTTGTAAGCGGTGAATATGCGTTTGCTAGGTTGTTAGTTCAAACCCCTACCATGGGATTCGTGGAAGTTAGTTACCGTATTAAAGAGCGAGGGATGCCTCCTCACCCTTCCATCCGTCCTCATGCTCTGGGGGGAGCGAGTTTATTTTTATTTTTATTTGCAAAATAAAATTCTTCTTTCCCAACAAAAATTAAAACAAAAATTCAATTTTTTACTTTGACCAAAATAACTATTCATTTTTATTTTCCTTTTGTATTACATAATATTTACAATGCTCAAAGTATATGTTCTTATTATACAATAATAATATTATTATCAAACCTACAACTTATTTTCAGCTTTTGAAATTTTTTATAATAATAAAAGTTAATGCCAAAAACAATTTAGAAAAGAAATAGGTATCTTTATGCAAGAATATATTATTTTTTTTAATAATTAATGAATGGTATAAAAACAAATACAAATCAACATGTATATTTAGGTACATTACTTTCGAAACAATGAAAAAGTTACAGTGAATAAATATTGTGTTTGTAGAATGACATTACTTTGAATTAATGTGTTGGTTTCCAAAACTATGGAGTTTCACAACTATGCAAAATTCAAAAGGGTTTGATTTTTGACTTTTGACTTTTGATTTGGTTTTGACATATATAACTTTTAATTTTAGTTTTAACTTTTGCCTCTCGAAATAGTTTTGGCAACCAACGCTACTTTGAGTTAAATCAGTCCAATACAAAAAGCTTTCTTAATATATTACCTCTTTACATGTTATAAGAAATTAAGATATTTGCAGAGTAAGGTTGCCAATGATAAAACACAGTTAGGAAATTAATTATTTGATCTCCTTTTGGGTGATTTCGTGCAGAAACTTAGTTAGTAAAGAATCGATTTTTGGTATGGTAAGATTTATATTAAATTTATTTACACTTTATGAATTTAAAGAGATTACATTCATGAGCGTGAGAACACTGAAGAACAATTGTAACTAAATTCTTCAAGTGCTATGGCTTGGAGATCCCAAAATGTAGATCTTTCATGGAAATGAAGGAACTGGTTATAAATGAGAGGGATCTTATGTATATGAATTCTTATCACCATTATTGAATATCGCAATGAGAGATCTACTGGTGAGTATTGATATATGGGGCGTTTGGTTGATGTAATTTCAACTTTTATTTTTTACAAGTTCAAGTCTATTTATCAAACATTATAGGGAAGATGAGGCGAATTCAGCTAGTGCAGAGTGAAAAGGTTCTCCCAACAAGCATGACAAACCGATTACAGAGTTGTCACAAAAATAAAAGATAAAAAGGTTTAAATCAGGTACTTTGAAACTGGCCAACTAGATTCTGCTCTTAAGAAGCAATGGCAGGACCACAATAAGTTAAATCAGCTTTCGAAAGATGTTATTGAGATTTTACAAATTTATCAAGAATGAGGGAGTACTCAGGAATTTGACAATGAAAACTATGCTGTTGATACGCCTCCCATTTATAAAAACTGTTTACTTAAAACGAGCAACCATCACACTATATATTTATATATTTCATCCGCAAAATCGGAAGATCTTTACCATCTCATTCAAACATTATTAACTTCTAAACAATTCAGATGAAATGTCATCAATAATTTCAACATCTTCAGATATATCAATAATGTCATCACAAACATCAACAATGTCAACAATTGCTTCCCCGAAAAGTCTGCCATCTCTTGTAGACCATGAAAAAGAAACTTCAAACAATTCATGTATTTTCATATATATACTTTATTTTTTTCTATATCAATAAACTGACTCAGCTGGTTGAGATTTTTGTACCTTCGTAAAATAAGATAATGATACACATGAATTATATCCGATAATTTCCCACACATATCTGATGAAATTAAACATGGCCGAGAATATTCGAATTGAGGTTATTTGCCTCTAGATATCTTCACAATTGAATACTGCTTTCATATCTTGCGTATTCCTGTTTATGATAGTTATAAAATTTTTGTCAATTGTATGCATATAGGTTAATCATGTTCCCATGGGACCTTGCTTTATTTTACGAAATGAAAACTTTACTGTAGTAAAGTCATAAAAAAATAAAAAAGTATACCTCAAAAGGACATGAAAAATATATCACTATTACACCATTGGTTTTATAAGAAGGTGAACTTGATTCGGGTTAGGAGCCACATAAAAATATTCAGAAACCTCTGCCGTTGATTTTGTAGGAATAAGTGCGTAGAGATTGAAGTTAATAGAAAGTTCTTGGTGACCCTGATTGTTCAACAGACCTCTAATTGCAGATTTGAGCATAGCAATATTACCTACGTATTTCAATTTTAAAACAATCTCTGTCCGGAAAACAACAATTGAGATTAATAAGATTGGTTATTTTGCATTTTCTAAGTACAAAGTTATAATGAGTAAAAATTTGTTTTTCATAGATAAAGCCACAAATAATGTATAACGAACCAATATATTACCTTATAAAAATCACAGGAAGATGAGAAAGATGCCTTGCAAATCCAGCTTATTTATATTGTTTCATTCGTTTAATCTGAGGATCTGCTAAAAGAAAAACACATGATTAGTGATTATATTAACCCTGATCATTTTCCAGATCCTTTCTTCATAAAGCAGATCCATTAGAATCACAAGCGCCAAGCACTGAATATATGAACAACCCTGAAGTATGAAGAGCCGTGGTTTGAATTCTCCAACTACCAATTTCTATTTTGATAAGTTGAGTGGCGGCCATGTGATGTTTAACATTGATATTATTATTATAGTTTGCAGCGAATAAAGGACAATAGGTGTAATATGTACTCCAAGAAAAAAGATAATGAATAAATTTAGTAAAAATTTTTTTGCACGTGAAATAGTTCTGGAAATAAGGGAACTAGATGATTGAACCTTTATATTTAGACATATATATAAGTAACGTAATTTTCTCAATTTTTCAATTATTTTGTTGTTTTCATCCTCTTGTATGTAATAAACCTATTTTTAACCATAAAAAAAAATGATCTTGAAGAAATAAAGAAACCTTTTCAACAGAAAATCATGTATTTTTCCGCAAAAATCATTCGCAATTTTGCGCAGCATCATGTAAATATCCAATTTTATTGGTGGGTTGGGCGTTAACCTTATTAGAAATTGATTTGGCAATTTGCGGATGAATAATAGAAAAAAACATACATCCGATCTATATTTTAAAAATTGCAGTCATCATAATGTCGTATTGTATATCGAATTCATTCGTTTTACGATTGGTTAGATTACCTTTATATAGAAAAAGTATATCCGAATTTGTTCGTTCAGTAATGATTTTTTTACGTAATTTTGCAATGATTCGTTGATTTAAAGTTTCCGATCGTGATAGATGAAAAAAAGTATATCCAAATTCGTTCATTCTATTGATTAGACACATTTATTATAATAACTTGTACTTTAATTTGAAACAAATAACATTTGAAAGGAGCACCAATTTCAAGCCCAAAGTTGATGAATACAAAAAAGAAATTCGTGGGCGACCAAGAAAAAAGGTTTTAGATCGTTCTACATATGCATGTATTAATACCAATATTAACAACTAAAACTGCTTGAGATTTGTTTTTCACTCGTTTGCTTTTTAGCTAAAATTGACCAAAGGGTTTTTTGTTAATAATGATAATGATAATAATGATAATGATAATGATAATGACGAATGACAGTAATGTTAATGGCAGTGGTACTGGTGCCACAAGAAACCTCCCTCTATTTGTGTGCACTGGCACGTACATTATTAACAACACCCATAAAAGGATAATAAATTGAGATATGAAAGCATTGGTTTGATGAAAAAGGTCTACAATGGATTATCGAAACAAAAAATTTCATTAATTCTAGTAAAAAATTCTTTTGGAATTAGATTAACATATGAATGTTGACTTTACCTCATATAACTATCCCTATTGATGAGAACACATTTACCGATGGCAAACATCTGTAGCATTGAATGGAGCAAGCTCCTTTGAAAACTTGAACATCCTGAAATTTGTTTTTTTCTTAAATAAAATGTTCAAAAAGTACTTTGATTGAGTGTAAGAGATTGGAAAAAATTAATCATTATGGATTGAAAACTTTAGTGTAAATGTTTATTATTAATTAACACAGAAAAAAGATTTAACATTCGCCGTGTCACCTTCTCCTTCCAAAATTCGCAAATTTCATAATCTTCGTGTAGGTTTTCGCCAATTATCTCTTTTTATGTTTAGCTGTGCTTGTGTTTTTTGGTTTTTGGCGCGATCAATGTTTTCGCCATATTTAGCCAATTTTGTGTCGTGCGGCAAATGTTTTATTTCATAAAAATATACTCATTGTCAAGCGAACACTTGTGATTGAATTGCACAACGAGGGAATATGAATATGTATGAAACAGCAAAAATCTATGTTTTTTAAACCTGATTTTTTGGGAAGGAATTTTTTGTTTTCGCTGGGTGATAAATTTCAAAAAAAATTTTTTTTTCTGAAATCGATCTACGTGCGTGATTTTTTTTTTCTTTGATCAATGTAAATACCTTTTTTCCACGTGATAAACTTTTATCGTGTAATGATAAGCAGAGAATTGTTTATTTAAGAAAAAAAGAAAAGCATTGTTTTATCTTTTGACGATTCTGATTAGTTTGCATTAGCAACAAGTATTCAAAAAAAATCAAACAATTGGATTAATTATTGTTTTTTTGAAAATACTTTTTGGTGGCGGGCGAGGCATCTTTCTTATTTTTAGTATTTAGTTAAGATCATGCTATTTGTTGATGTTAATTTAAATGGTATGAAGTTTTTTGTTTTAATTTACTTTTTAAATCATTAATCGACAATTGAATTGATTGCTTTTTTTTGTTTATTACTGTTATTACTAACTAAAAATGCTAATTATCTTTTAATTGACAATTGATTTACGAATTATCATTTTTGTGGGGGACGAAGCATCTTGCATTTTTCATCAACAACAAGGAAAAAATTAATCGTGAATCATCCTGTTTCCTTTTAGTCTCAAAATCTCTACACTTTTAAAAAAGTCTTGGTCGGTTCGTCAACAACAATAAGGAAATTAATCGCGAATTATCCTATTCTTTTTTATCGGTGATCTCGAAACCTCCACACTTTCAAAAAAGTCTTGGTTGGTTTTTTTAACAGTGAACGACCAGTTCCTGTTTTTTACATCTTGCATATTTTCAAAAGGACTTGCATTGCTATACAATACCAATAAAAAACGATGAATGTTTGCTATATAAATGTCCTGATTTTGTCGATTCGAAACCTATCTTTGCTTGTCTACGCAACCAAAAAAAAAATTAATAATCTTTTGCTTACCTTACCGTTACGTTTTTAAATAAATAATCTTTTGCTCATAATAAGTCTGCAATATTGACTGCTGTTGTGTTCGCCAAATCTGCCAGCGGAACCAATGCCATCAATGGGATTGCGACGGCGAGATTGGACGATGAGGAGTACATGGATTTCCAATACAAAACGTTTAACGTGAGCGAAGGAAGTCTCCTCGAACCTATCCAAGCGAACACCATCATGCTGTTTGTCAAGAGATACGTTCTCGAGTCCCAGTTGTATGTCGTTTTTATTGCAAAGAAAAAAAAATACAAATAGGAATGAAAAAAAAAAAAAAATACAAAGAATAATAAAAATTATTTAGTGTCACAATTTTCATCACTGTCGTCGTTTCATTCTCATTATTATCGTCATCATTTTCAATGTTGTACAAATTTTCTACTGCATCCGTATAACCTTTATTGTTGCTGACAACTTCATTCATTGTATGTGTCAGTTTCGTTGCCCTTGATGTGCTTGATTCTTCCTGTGGGTCATGGTCTGCGCAAAATATGGGATACCAACCATTTCATTGGATTAAATTTATTCCATAATTTTTATTGTGTAATCTAAAAAAAAAAATTTTTCAACAGAAAAAGTAGACTGTTAAATACAAGATGTGTGACGACATACGAAGCTTCCAAAGCAAGTTTGTAAAGTATACTGATGAACTTTTATCAATTATTGAATAGCTTGTATCGAGGTAAGTGTTAAAAGTCAAGATCTATGAATCTGCTTGTAAAATATATTTAATGAGCGTTTTATCAATTATTCAAATAATTATATAGGCGGGCTTGGTAGAAGTAAGTGTTAAAGTCAAGATCTATTGCAAATCAAGTTTCCAAAATGAACGTTTATTATTATAGACGGGTTTGATCAAAGTAAGTCTTAAAGTCGAGATCTACGAGGCTGTTTGTAAATTATATTTAATTAACGTTTTATTACTCAATAACTATATAGGCGAGTTTGATCGGTCAAGATCTATATAATTAGATTCTTAATAGTTAATAATGGAATCTTATTACATGCAAAAAAAAATTTTTCGAGTTGTAAATTTTATTTTATTAAATAAATTTGTTTGATTTCGTTCATGTTTTCTCTTGATCGTATATCTTAAATTGGTCGCGTTTACAATCATTTTGACATTCGTTATTTTGATTATGTAGGGAGATATGGTCAAGAGAAGAGTAAGGAAGAGAGTTATTCTTCAACCAAGTCAAAAACCAACCCTTTAAATACATTTTCGAGTAGTACGATTTAATTTATTAGACTTTTTCAATGGTTTGTCGCGTGGTTGCTTCCAACTTCTTAGATTCGTTAACGAAATAATTGTTGATGAAGTGATTGTTGACAAAATGAATCTAACCCATATTTATTTTTACGTTATCAAATTCACGATTTTAATTGGTCAATCAACAAATTGCGCGGGTTAAATTTTTTTGTTTCCAGAACGGTCTCTCCTGCTCACTTGCACATCCTCGATTACAAAACTTGTTCCAATACAACCAATTCATGTTTTGAAAAACCCAATAAATTTATGATAATTAAATAATCATTAAATTCTAATATATGTAAATACTTTAAATATTATAAAATTGTATAAAAAAAATTTTAATGGAAAAATTTTATATGATAAATTTACAACACTTGACAAGGTGTCAAACAACACCACGCATTGTTTAATGTTAAAAATGGCGTCGATCATTGTCGTGTTTATCATATTAAATTTACAGCTTCTATCAATGCGTTGAACAAACATTTTTTTAATTTCCTGATGTTGATTGGCATAGTGGGTGCAGTCTTGCAATTTTTCTATTGTATATTTTAAATATAATTAATTATACATCTTTAATAAAACAAACATGACTTAACTATTTAATCCTTTCCTTTATGTGAATGCCTCCATCCATCAAATATTCATGATAGTCATGATTATTATTCAATACATTTGATATGATCATTGACATAACAAACAATTGCATCACCCAGGTAGTAATGATACCAAGGCCATGTAAAAATGAAACTTTAATAATGCGTGTCTGCCCAGATCTCTGGGATTCACAAAATAAATTATTTTTCCTGATTATCAATTGTAGTTCCTATTGTGTAGTTCCTTATGAATAATAAATCTGATATTGATTGCAGGTGTCAGATTTAATTAAGATTTCCTATCACCAACATGCAATGCGGTGCCTTGACACGCCCATAACCGAGGAAGTTTTTTACACCAAAACTAACGTTTGGTTCCACGGGTAGGTTTCACACATGTTGTAAGGCTTTAGACAAAGCATTCCCCTTATCATTCCCTCAGACCAGGCTGGTTGTTACCATATGGAGCATTGATTGTCGACATTCGTGTGATGATTGCTTTGTGTTATACCCCTCTCTCACTAGAATAAAGTTGGCACCTGATTCAAAATTCTCCAACTCGGAAGTTGCAATCTGGGTTGCTGTCTTGTCTGCTCACCAACAACCCACCCCATTTATTTAAATAACAAGTTCAGTTGGTCAAACAAAAATTAAAGAAAAACAGAGTATTTATGAAAATGATTAATTATAACATAACACACCAAACAAAATCCGAACCATTTTATGATTTTTTTCTTGTTGGCCATATTGCTGACAAAGATGTATATAATCATGCAATAATTTTAACCTATTGGACAGAGAACTGATTGGGCAAAAACCCATCCAGTATCAGAGAAACAGAGCATTTAGGAAAATGATTATCCAAAACAAACACTATTTTACAACTTTCCTCTTAACATCAGAGCCCAAATGCAATTTCAGGGTCACCAACCCTGCTCTAAATTGTAAACTCCTGTGTTTGAACAAGTTGCAGATTCTCTTAATATTCCTCCAGAGTTGCAATAGCTTGGTCATAGAGCCTAGATTAGGATCATTGCAGGCAACTTTTCAGCCAGCATGCCAGCAGCCTTCTCTGGTCTGGGAAGATTAGTGAAAGTGTCATTGACGATTGGTACAGCCTCAGTAAACTCCACGGCCATGCTCCCCCCCCCCTGGAATTTAGTTGCATCATTGTATCATTGGAGGGTGCGAGTCAGATTAGCCTTATGTACACGAGGAAGATGAGAATGACTGTAAGTGTTCAATGTAGTGTGTGTGCTTCAACGCCTGCCAATTTCCGATATTCAAACATTGCATATTTAAATTGCCTCTTTTTCAATGGTGTATTGCCTTGACATCTTTTTGCAATTATATATTAATAATAGTATTATTATCACGATTATGAAAAGCAAAAACCAATCATTTATTATAAGAATCTTATTATTACCCTCCGCGTTTTGATTCCAATTAAAATATTTATTAACTAAAATAAAAATATCAATACAAATAAAAAAAGTACCTCTGGTTAGTTATTAACACGTTTTCTTTAGAAGACCCAAGCCAAACCAAACCAAACAACAACACTCACGTTTTGTCACCTTGAACTCTGTCAAAAAATAAATTGTTTTTCCAAAAAAAAAAAAAAAAAAAAATCAATCAATTCGCGTCTGTCCTACCAAAAAAAAAAACCAATAGGATAAATAATTAATGTGTATGCGTCAATCAAATAACAGACTTCTTTAAAAAAAAAAATGTCACGATTCAACAATAAAAGAAGCAGAGAAACTCAACGAGAAGACATCTCTGGGTAAGTGTTTTAAGGATGGTGGTGGTTATCGCCCGCCACTTGTCGTTACTCTAGTTTCATTAATACATTTAACCAATATATTAGAGAAAAAAGACCGAAAATCGGTCAAAATGACTTGATAAAATTTGATAGAGCCAAGGAGCTCAATAAACATTTAGAAAAAATCCGCAGTGATTACACGCGGGATTTAAGTGATAAGCTCAAGCCAGTTCGTCGATGTGCTACTGCACTGTATTTTATTGACAAGCTCGCATTAAGAGCAGGAAATAAAAAAACTGACAAAAAAGCAGATACTGTGGGTTGTTGTTCCCTCAGATGTGAACATATTACTTTGGTACCACCAAGGACAGTTGAGTTTGATTTCTTAGGTAAAAATTCAGTAAGATATGTAAACTCAGTAGAAGTAATAGATCAAGTTTTCAAAAACCTCGGAATATTTATGAAGAATAAGGAATCCAGTGAAGAGTTATTTGACAGATTAATGGTACAAAAATACAAGATTTAAATTTAATCAATCACATATATGTGTGTGTGTTTGTGTTTGTTTTATTAATAAATTCAAATTTTCTTTAAAAATTCATTTAGGCTCAAGATTTAAATGAACATTTGTCTGAATACATGAAAGGACTAACCATCAAAGTATTTTGTACATACAATGCATCTTGTACCTTCCAAATTGAGCTAAAGAAAGGGATGGAGAATGCTACTACTATAAGAGAGAAAATAGTAGCATATAATAAAGCAAACAGACAGGTTGCTATTTTATGTAACCATCAACATTCTGTCAGCAAAGATCATGATAATAATCAAATCAATAAAATTGACAATAAGGTTTTTTTTTTTTATCATGATTATTATTAATTTCTTAAATAAATTCACATGTATGTATTCTTTAATATGTTAGGTTCATGCTTTGAAATACCAAAGAAATAGATGTGAAATGGAATTGTTGAATCTTGTCCCCAGATTAAAAAAGAGCAAGCCTCAACTATTTGAACCAGAATTAGACATGGAAGAGGAATGGATAATTGAGCATGAGAAGCAATTGATGGAAGGGGAATGTTTGGCAGCTGTAAAAAAATTTGAAAGAGATAATGAAAAGCTTACAGGAGAAGGAAAGTCACCTAAACCTGATGAGAATCTCAAACAATTATTAAAAAACATTGATGAAAAAGAGAAGGTGTTGAAGAATGAATGAAAATCTGGAAAGGTCAGTCTGAGAAAAGGACAAACAAGTGAAAAACTCCAGATCCAAATAAAAAAATTGACAGAACTTATTAAAACCACCAAGTTATTAAAACAAGATAAAGAGGACAACAAGACAACTGCATTAGGCACATTGAAAATCCATTACCTAGATCCACAGATCTCTGTTGCATGGTGCAAAAAATATGATGTGCCAATCACTAAAATTTTCAGCAAGACCCTCCATGAAAAGTTCCAGTGGGCATTGGATGTAGATGTGGATTGGGTGAGTATTTTTTTTTTTTAATTAATTTTATTAAATAATAATATATTTAAAATTATTTTATTATTTTATAGGAATTTTAATCATTGTGCAGCTATTTTTCATTTGGCTGTTTTTTGCTTTTGCTATTTTAAACTTGTGAATTTGTACATTGTGCTTGGTATTAAATCTCTGCCTGGTGGATGGTTATATTTTTTGTGTCAATAGAAATTTTTTTATAATTTAGATCTGATGATAGTAAGGATTCTATTATCATCATCATTAGCTATATTATTATTATTATTAATTTAGATTATAAATATGAAAGCTACAATTTATATATATACTCCCTCTATCAATTTCATTTTATTATAAAATAATGATAAATTTTAGTGATATGAAATAAACTTAAAATCTTATTTTCACTTTGGCATTGACTTGGTTGTACTGGTTTTATTCAATTTCAATCTGGCTGATACTTTTCTAGTTTATTATAAAACATGATCAAGTTATTCATTTTCATCTAAAATAAATTCCAGCTAGTATTTATATGTCAATCTTGCCCCAAACATTTAAAAAATGCATACTTTTACAAGCGAATTTTTTATGGATTATCCCTTGGTTTTTGTTTCATTATAGATCTATAGTAGTAAAATTATTAATCACAAAAATTCTAATCAAAAATCAAAAGTAAATGACTTAAATAAAGAAATTTAGCAAACATAATTGCAAAGTAATTTCAAGATCGTGAATCATGAGCAGCTTATGGCTTCCACCAAAAACATATAAACCAATCTAATTATTTTGAGAAAAAGACTGTTTATTATGATCATTAACGATGTGGGAAATTAATACTCTAGAAATCAACAAGATCTAAAATTTTATGACAAACCTCGTGTTTCCATTGCAGAAAAATTATTTATTATAGATTAAAAAAAAACAAAATCTAATAATTAGTTGAGGTGATTCACAAAAAAAAAAGAAACTCCAGTTTCATAATCCCATTCTGATATAAATGAATATTGTAAAGTGGAGAATATATACCATATTCCTAAGAATAAAAGCTGAATAAGTAAAACTAAACTAAGGAATACTAAGAAAAAATAATGGAGAGCTGTATTTGAATTAAATACTCAATGTTCCTGTTCGAAACACAAAAACAGTTAAAATGAGAAGGCATTATAAAGATGCTAATATATTACATTAATGGTTTACTATAGAGTGAATATATTTAATGAAAAAATTAACAAAAATATCAAATTAAGCCTCTTTGGATGATTCCTTTTCATCCCCTTCTTTGGGTGATTTCTTTTCATCCTCTTCTTTGGATGATTCCTTTTCACCCTCATTTTTGCCACCATTCCCATCTTTATCTTTCTCGGTGATTACAGTTACTTTCTCGGTATCTTTTTCACTGGCTGTTTTTTCGCTATCTTTACCTTCTTTACCTTCGCCATCATCTTTATCACCGCCACCCGGATCTTGGCCTGCTTCCTCTAATAATGCTTCTCGATCTTCAGTTTTCTTTTTTCCTTTAGAACCAAAAAATTTTGCATTCCTTATATTCAACGGACCATCACCAATACACGGTTGACACGTTAATGCTCTTGTAACTACTTTGAACGTCTCGTAAACAATCAATCGTTCCTTATTCGTTGTCCAAACATCTGCCATCCATTTAATAAGATTCAAGAACGATGTCATGATAATGGCACTAACAGTTATTGTATACGTTACACCGGAAAACATTGCTGCATTCTGAACCGCCAAAGTAAGATTTGCCACATCCCCAGGTTCGATAAGGGTAGAATTATCAATAGTTGGGGGTCCAGGTGTAAAACCAGAACCAGTTTCTGTACCGGCACTATTAATCAATGGGTCTAATGCATCATCTCGAGTTCCAAAAGCAGAACATGCAGCAACAATGATTAACCCTTGACTAACCGCGCTGATCGCTTGTGACAACATGGCATCCAGACTTGCGGATGATTTATGGTAATTATGTGTACTAGGAGAAAGCAGATGAAGAATTTGGAATGGTCCACCAAAATACATGGGACCAGAAATAGCTACCGGCACTGGTTTTTTAAATGACATATACCCTATACGAACTACTCCAACCATCCCAAGTATAACAGTTTGTAATGATGCTGTCGCACCAGATATCTTGCCTACCAAATCCAAAGAACCAAAATTCCAATCACGAATATCAAACGATTGGAGGAACAAATTCATAAAGAAATCTTGGACCGAATACGAATTACCTAATTGTGTGAACCAAGACATTAACAAGGAGGTATAATATAATCCAACTGTTATAAAAATATCCAGATGCGCTATGCGAGCACTAATATATTCGGTTTCTCGTGCCATCTCTTCCTTTGTATCAGGATCAACTTGCGTTATAGCTCGCTCTATAACTTTTACAACAGGCTCTATTATTGGTGAATCCAATGCTTTTCCCACATCTTCTGACTTAAGTCCTGCAATCGATGGTCCTCCTTTATCATCAGCTGGACGTATTACATCTTGAATCTTACTAACTATTGATCCATCTCCACCAGTGGTAATTGTAATTGGAGATTTCTTATCTTGTTTAGGGTCAGGTTTATGTCCGGACATTATTATTGTAGATAAACATTAATATATATTAAATAAATATATTTTTTTTTCAAAGAATTGGAAAAAAGTTTGTTCGATAAATACACACGTCAATCTTTTATATGAAAATTTTCAAGTCATTAAAGTTAGTGATGTTAGCCGGCTAAGCTATGTAAGTTGTCTAAGTCGGATAAGCCGAAAAATTTCTTAGCCGGCTAAACATCACTAATTAAAGTACGAATTTACACTTCCACGATGTTATGTTGCTCTTTTTTCCTCGCTGCCGAATACATTTATACAGTCGTCAGTATATGTTAATGAAGATATTTTAATAATTTGTTGAGTTTTTGAAATTATAATGATTTTTTATTTGTTACATCCTAATTATCTAAATGTCGTCACTTATTGACGATTAAAAAAGATAATAATAATGAACGAACGAATTCACTGGGAACTAAATAACATTAACTAGGTATTCTAGCTAGACCAAAAAATCAATCAATTAATTCACTTTTGGCTTTAAAATGATTTTATTGTTTATTTTAATTTCCTTTTTTGCCCATTTTAATTCATTACTATAATATATAGGAATATCCTATATACAGAAAGGTTCTTTTTTTGAAATATACAGTACCCTACCAAAAATGGAAATTTATTCTATAAAAAAGGAAATAGCTCAAATTTTTGTAACATCCTCGTGACAGTTATTTGTATGTGACGATTAAACTTGTGAGGCTTGGGGTGGTAGGAGTTATGGAATGCTTACCAACTCCAAAAATAAATTCTTATTTGTCACTTAGGTTCTGTATATTTCATAAAAAGAACCTTTCTGTATATACGTAGGATGATGACCCTTACATCAAAAAATAAAAGCCAGTATTGGTAAAAAAGGCTGGATAATAAACTCACATTATCAATTATAACTAATACTAATTGACAGTTTAATATCAACACTTAATTTATTAGGTGTAATTAGGGGTAAATAATAAATTACCACCTATAGCCCAAATATCTTGTCATTCATTGCCATAATTATTTTATTCCTTTAAGGCCAAGCCACAACCTAACAAAATTTTTTTAAAAATGTATTCCGGCAAGCCAGATTTGAACTAGCGACCTAGAGATTACAATGTTGAGGTTTACCCTCACTACAGTCTCCCGCTCTACCAACTGAGCTATTGCCGGTTGATTATTGAAAAGTGTAAAATTTTTAATCTTATAAACAGATTATAATAATTTTTTCCATATTTGCCATTCACTTGCTTTAGTTATTTGCAATTAATGTAAAATCTTTCAATATATACTGTATATATAAATAAATATTCATTAAAAAAAAAATAACACCGAGATCGTTAAATCTTAAATTAAATATTTTCATTTTCAATTAACATTGAATTGGGTGAGTTTAACAACTATTTCGTATTTGAACCACTGCCCATCTCAATATAATTTAATGAAGGGGGGTTAAAATTATTAAAAAAAATTTCAATCCACTTTTTTTTTTCCAGCCAACGAAATAAATCATTGTTATTATAGTTTGTTAGCAATCCCACAATAACTTCTTGATCTGATAAATTAGGTGCTTTGATAGCACTTTTTATGTTTATTTGTAAACAACTAGTTGCTCCAAATGATGAATAAGCAATTATCGTTGAATATACTTTTTGAGATTTCACATATTTTATCAATTGTTGTATTGATGATGTTCAATTTGTTGCACTTATGGTTTGATACGTGCATATTTCAACAACTAGAAATTCCAATGTTCTATATACAATAAAAATAATATGTTAGTTGTGTTCTATGTCTTTAAATATCAATGTACATATATATATATATAACACGTACGCACAAGTTATTCACACATATAAAATTATATTCGCTCCTCTCTCACACATTTATATAATTAATTCGCTCTAATTAATCCAGCATCAACCAATTCCTCCATGTCTTTCTAACAGTACCATTTTCTTTGAATGCCAACTTGATTATTTGGATCATTCGTAATATTTCACCCGGATAGATAACGTGCATTTATTTCAATGAGATTGGAAAATGAATAAATCAAGTAAAGATTTAAATATTCCAGTTTAAAATCCAACATTTTCTTTTTTATGAAATGTGTTTCGTAACTATTTGGAAATGTAGAAATCAAGATTATTACAACAACTTCTCCATCCATCCATCCATCCATCCATCCATCCATCAGTTCATTCCTTCGTTAATAATTGATTATCTTGAATGTTACAAAAATATCTTCACGTTTAACTAATCCATCATCAATAGCATTCTTACCAACATCTTTTTCATTCTCATTAACATAGTCACACGCATTATCAAACAACCTATACCCAATTTGATAGCATCAACAGTTAACAATCCTAAACTAACCAAGGACATCTGTTGAATTAAAAATTACACTATTCTCCGGTTTCATTATTGTTATTGTTAACACCAACTAATATAAGAATGAAATGTGTTCTTTTCCGCAATTTCTTTACTTGTTTATATTTATTTCTCTGGTAACTTTTTAAGCATTCCACTATTTATTTAAAAAAACCAATAACTGACAATACTGATATACTAATGATTCAAAATTAAATTCAAAATTCATGTTACACTGCATAAAATTAAAAAAGCACATTTGTTAAATTATTTAAATCTCATGTATTAGTATATGAAATCAGGTAAACAAATAATAAACAATTCAGCGCAATAAATTATTTTGACAGATAAAACCATAGTGGTTATATCCGCCGAGTGGTGTTCACCGATTATTCACCGATTGTTCGATTAATTGGGTGTAGAAATTTTCAATAATAATAATTATTAATATTAATTGATCAGGTATTGAAGACTTTCACCAGTCGGAACCCCTATCAATGAGAGATGATAGATACTACCATTTGTAGCTCCTTCAACAGCCAAAGTTGTCTGATAATATATAATTTCATTATAAATTCCATCATAATATTATTAATAAAACAAGCATTACTCGCCTTAAGCTCAAGATCATCTATAAATTTTTCTTCCGACTTCAGTCAACCCTTGGGGTTTTCCAATTCTTCCAATTCAAAATACATCTATTATCTATTCATTGTAAAATTTTTGATCGACGGATCATTATTTATTTATGACGAAAAAAGACTTATTAAAAAATTGCAAATGTTAAAGTCATCTTTGTCATTATTTAAAAGTTCAATTAGAATTCTTTTTGTAAAGTTACCATCAATCATTTTGATGTATAAATAAATATAACATACGAAACATATATATCATATATCACTTGATTCGTAAATGAAAAAATCTACATGGTAAAATTCCGGGATAAACATCATAGTAATAACCATTGTTTCGTCGCGTTTCAACGGGTTTTAAAAATCTATAAAAATCCGTTGAAACATATTGATATCGACTAAAATCATGCAGATCTTTCATTGAAGAAAGACTTTGCGAGAGTTTTATTAAATGTCCAAAATTATGTATTATATGTATTTTTAACTGCTTTTGCAAACCTATCAAAAAATAGCCAATAGTTTCAAATTATAATCATAAAGTTACCAGAAAAATAGACCTTCAGTCTAACATTTCTTCTGCTTTCAAAATCTACCATGCCTCTAAAGTTGGTGTCTGCGACTAATTTGGATTCTGAAACCAATTGCAACCTAGGTTGAAATTGTAACTTCTTGGTTGCAAACACCAACTTTACACGCCTCGATAATTCTTGGTACAAATATAACTGCTTGTCGTGATAGTTATTTAATATATAATGAACAATTTTCCCACTATTATATGTATTGTTGGTTTTTTCTGGATATAAATAAAGTCACTGGCTACCGTTGTGGTTATTAAAGAAATAAATTTGTTTGTTTTTTACATTTAATAATAATATTATTTATTAATAAAGATAATAAAGATAAATTTTGCAAAAGTAATCTTTTGGGATACAATCTAATTATTTTATGTACGAATATCCAATGCCCATTAAATAGCAAAAAACCGGTTAAAAGTGAGAAGAATAATGATAATAATACGATGAGATCGATCATCGTTATAATATACAATATTCAGATTTTGGAGTAGAAAAATTACGATGATGCAATTCTCACTTAATGCTGTCCTATTACGAGGTAATATCCGAGTCAGTCAACAATATCTACGATGCAGTTAAAATTGTTAAATCGAGACTGAATAAACTTCATAGAGTTTGTTTGGCATATCTAATTTTTCTTGATAATAATAATAAAAAAATGTCGCAAAAATTGCCAGCTGGAAAGGAATAATAATAGTAGGCATTCATGATGAAATTCAACATGATTAATCAAGCATAAACACCAAAGATGTTTGGCTGGCATTTTAAGTTTGGTTGGTTGTGAGCATCAAAATATTTGATTACATTTATCCGAGGTTTTAGGATTATAATTTATTAATTAATTAACATCTATTATTATATAAAGATAAGAAATCTTGCCCAATCGTCTTATATATGGAGGAGGACCATTGAATAATTCAAAGAAAAGCGAGTGAATAATATTAATTGGCCGTTGGTGTCAAAACCAAATTATAATAAAGGAAATCCATGAATGACCAAGGAAAAAATAATAACAATTACGATAATTTGAAATAGTAATAGTAATGTTTGTTGTTTATATTGTTTATTATTTGCTTATTGTTTATTTATATTTACATGTATCTCGAGTGGGTGAATTATATTAAATTAATATTATTAATATTTACATAATAAAATAAATAAATAAATTAATTAATCAATCAATATTAATATTACATATAATAATTTCGATAAATCTAGTAAAAATAATGTCATAATAAAAAAAAAAAATCTAAAAAAGTGGTGGATATAAAGAAAAATTTATACACAAACTAAGAAAACCCAAATAAAGATTTTCTTTGTTTTCCTTCAAAAAAAAATAAATAAATAATATTTATCTTGCGCCACGTGTCCGACGAGTAGATTCTAAAGGAGACATAATTAATCTTTTCATCTTTAATAAATATTCACG